TAGTGAATTATATAGTCTCAAAACTACCTTGATGAAACACAAATTATTGAGATTTTATTTCTTATGCATTAGAGGGTATTCTATTATAGTCATTTTGATAAATCGTGGGACATTGAAGTTACTCTTGATGGGTTACAAAATCTTGAAGTTTCTTCATTTGCATAGAGTTATTTACTGAAATTCTTCCTCTATCATGAATATACTTGCTGGAATTCTTCTTGTGGATCTTATAAATGATGATATTCATTCTCTTTCACAGAAATACTTACTAAAATTGTTCTTATAGATATGAGAAATGTTGAACTCGTCCCTTTCAAGTGATTATTAGTTAGTTTGTTTATGTATATTTCTCTTGTTCAAATCTTATAAACGGAACATGCTTTTCTTACAAGTTCGTTCTTGATATTATATGAAAATTAGTGGTGTATTGGGGAAGTAAAAGAATTCTGAGCATTTGATTCCTTTTTCTTCTCATCATTCTTAAAAGCTCTATTTATTCAATGGAAAATTTACAAGCTTGGCATGAAATATATAGGTTATCATCTACAACTTTACTCACTTCATGCTTCAGCACCATTTCAGTCATAAAAATTGGAGAACTCGTTACATATTTATTCTTTCATTTTTCATATCCATTGTATGTGTAGGTACATATAAATTCTCACCTATATATAATTATTCACGTTAAATTGCTCTTGTAAGATCGTATATGAGCTGAATTCCTCTCTTACATATCATTACATGTGCTAAAATCATTCTTGTGAGATGATATATGAGCTGAAATTTCTTTTTACACACTAGTATATATTCTAAAATTATTTTTGTAAGGTGTCACATACATAAGAATTATCTCTTGCAAAGTTATACACATTTTGAAATTTGCTTCAATAATTTGATTTGATCTATATTTTCACATATTTACGCACATGTCAATTCATAGTAGCTTTTATATTTTCATATATGATATTCTGACACCGCCTTCTCTCATCGCCTTATTTGCGAGGTACTAATGGAGCTAATTGGAGGATAGAGCCAAGGAGCTTCAGTCGCCCCCATTTCTTCTAAATAGGGGTGCTACGGTCGGAATCACCGTTGACAAGCTCTGGTGATCAGGTAAGTTTTCTTAAAACTTAGAAGGCCATAGATCCCATAAGCCAATGATTGTATGCTCCTTCAACCTTAGATCCATGCAGTAATCCATGCGCCTCATTTATATTTATCTTCCTGCAAACCCAAAACCCTTTTGATGTAGCTTATTTGCACCCATGTGTGTATAAGGGTTAGAGACATTGATTGCAAAACCAATTTTAACTTTAGTCTCATTTAAGGACGAGTCTTAGAGAACTTAGACAAGCCCTAGGATTCATACATACATCCTCTAGGGATGAAACACCAAACACATATAACGTAGTGACATCACATCTTAGGATTAATATACATCATCGATTTGATCTCAAACAACAATCATTAATGTTTCTTTAAAATTTGAAAACTTAAATATTTGATAATTACTCAAATAAAATTTATAAAAATATTAAACCTTTCTCAATCAAACTCAACCAACAAATACAATTATTAAAGAATAAAATTCAAACCCAAAACTTATTAATTCTTAATTAATGCTTTCACTATTCCTTGATTGAATATTAATTAAATGAATTCATAAAAAGCAAAACAAGATGTAACGACAAAACACATTAAAATTTGAATAAAACCTAGAGATGAATAATACAAATTTAGAAGAACTTTTGAATGGAATTTAATTAGTAATTTGTTATTAATTAATTAAAATTAATTTAAGAAGATTTGAGAAATTATCTGAAAATTCTAACTAATTCAAAAAACTCTAATAATTCAACAATCAACTTAACTCCAAATAACTTTAACTTAATAATTGAAACAATTTAATTAAAAATCTTCAACCCTTTAATCATCAACCAATTAAATTAACTCGACTAATACTGGTTATCACTTGGTAACCCAGGCCTACGAGGCTATTAGCTTAGCCCCAAGGAAGGTGAAATAAACTTCATGGCCTCGGTGAGAAACAAAGGTGATAATCATTTAACACTTAAAATACACCCTAAAATCAACTTTAAAACTACTAATACTTAAACTCAAACTTAAATCCCTCAAGCCTTTCAACCAATCAAAACATTAGACAACTTCAATCAATTACCCGATATAGGATATCCAAACCACACGGTCTACTACACACACTTAGATTGGTTTGTAAGGACACGAACTCTAGCTTTAGGTTAGGCTGATGTTACTTTTTGTTTTTGAGGTGTGTTAATATATATGCAAATTGAGCATTGATTGATTTTTTCTTACTATGTTGGATTCATGTGATGATTATTTCTAATGCTTTTGGTGGCATCCTAGGTTAGATAACATAGACATAGGTTCATTGTCCACAGACCTGTGCACTTCCTATTTGTCAGCCTAGGATTAGGTCCCCAGCCCCTTGGCCTACGAGGTCCCCTTGAATGAGGTAACCCATGGTGGGTCCCCAGCCCCTTGAACGAGGTCCCCTTGAATGAGGTAACCCCACAGACCTGTGATCAGGTTGGGGCACTTTTGAATTATTTCAGAATCTCTAAGTGCCTCCTACCTCTCCTCCGTTGACTCCGGAAATAAGTGTTCAAAATTCAATCCAATCCCGATTGAAATTCCAAATTCACCTCGATATCATTCCTAGAAAATCTTTAAAATAAAATTTATGCCGTTATTTTAATCGAGAGTATTCATAAGGAATTCAATTTCCCTACGATGTAATTAACTACGAGGGCTTGCGCTCGTAGGAGATTTAGAATCCACATCAATTTTTCTAAAAAATTAATTAATATTTCTTTTGGGGAATCAATTTTATAACGATCGTTATTGTCATAATCGAATGATTGCTAACGGATGATATTTTCTTTCTTCGGGAAGATTTATCATGTGTTAACATAAATTCGAATATCAAAATTAATTATCACTTCTCTTGATTATCGTAGTCTAAAATTTGATTGAACTTCATTTTGACCCTCCGGGGTCATATGTTGCTCTCCCTTAAATTAGCTACAATAGCAAAGTGAAAATTTACAATTATGGGTCTGAACCCGTTAGGAGATTTTATCTCCGCCTTCTAAGGCGGTATACTATCCTTAATGGTTTGTTCGACTTCAGAATTAAAATTAAAATTTAATTCCCGATTTTCCCAAAGAAATTTAAGTAAGATTTGTTTTGCACCTTGCGAGGCAAATCGCCTTTTCAACACCAACAACCATTAAATACACACATGGATGCTGAAAAAAAACTAACAAAAGTTCATGAAGAATCACATAAATTTCAAGTCTCTTACCGCAAGAAAGAGGAGAAGCCTTGAAAGAACTATGTAGATTTAGCACTTAATTACCCATATTACATTTAAAAATATACCTTCTAAAATTTAGCTACACAACAAAAAAAAAAAAAACTAGACTAGATCATCATTAGTTTGATCCCAACAATTTAGGATTATTCTTACCCCATATAAGGAGTTAAATAAGTTGGGTATTACACTTGAACACGTAAACAATTGCTATTAATATACACTGCAATAGATGTAACATATCTATCTTTGTTTTTTGATGGAAACCATTAGCTTGCTTTTATAACATTACCACACCAACATCACTACTAAACTTTAAGTCAAGCTTCTCAGCCATCTAATACCTTTTTTATTTGATTTTAGCAAAGAAAAACAATATCAAGCATTTATACCACTACGTGGGGTTGGCTACAATTAATCATTTTATCCATTGTGTCTCATTAAGAGTCAAATTTTCATTTAAATATGATAAAAATTTGATTTATAATACTTTCAAACCAAGTTGTTCTAGGTCTACCTCCACCTTTCTTAATATAGGCAGAATCTAACACATTTACTCTCCTAATCGGGTGATCAAGAGGCTCATGTTTTAAGTGACCAAACCATCTAAGGTGACTCTCTAATCTTATCTGCCACTAGAACTACTCCAACCTTTTCACATATATACTCATTTTGCATTTTGTCTCTAAATGTAAAGCCACTAATCCACCTAAGCATCCTCATCTCTGCAATACATAACTTAATTTTAAGCTTTTCTTTTAATGGCCAACATTCTACACTATAAAGCATTGCATCTTAATAAATTTTCCCTTATGTTTGGGAGGAACTTTTATATCACACAGCATGCCCGGGGTTTTCCTCCACTTCAACCATTTGAATTCTACTAATAAAATTCCCATCTATTTCACCATCGCTTTGAACAATAGACCGGAGATATCTAAAACAAGCAATTTGTTACTCTTGCTATATTAGAATGTTAATATGTTGTGTTTTAATATATTAATAGGTTATGGTACAAATATATTATTTCATAATTGCAATTTGACTTTACAAATTTTTTTATAGTGAAACTTACGACCCAAAATATTTTGAGGCTTAAGCCTCACCTCACGGACAAAAAACATGTCAATACCTAATTGCGTAATTTTAAATTGTAACATAAGCATTCTTTACCTGAGATATCAAAAATCATATTTCCATCTCTATTATACAATCATAGTATTAATAGCCAAATTGATAATGGTGATCTAAGCCTAGATGGACTCATCAGTTACACTAGGTTGACTAGAAACTATAATGAAAAAACCATCACATGAACTTTACCGTTTAAATTGTACAATTTAAAAGTAATTGGAATCAATATATAATAATCACCATTAGTACATTGCATTTTTTATCATTTCGATTAAAGAATGACGAGAAACATTATAGCATACCACATTATAAAGATTTCCCAATTGTATTTCTCCATATTTAGTTTCAAGTAATTTTAAGGAATGAAAATTGAAGGGGAACAATAAAAAAGACCGAAGTTGATCTTTAGTGAACGAAGATTGATGTTCATTTAATCAGGAATTGAAACAAAATAAAAAATTAGGGATTGAAACCAACCACCTTCAATGTTCAAAAAAGCAACAAAGCTCACCTATATCGCACTCAGTGCCAATTGCCAACACCGTAGCCAAATACTTAGTATCAGAGCCCCTCTTCTTCAGTTTAACCTGAGTATAATGCTCCACCGAGTGTGCATTCGTCAGCACCCGCCTACCTCCTATGATAAAACCACTGCTGCTCGAGCTGTACTGCCGTTTCCGCTGCCAAGGCAGCGAAAAATTGGGCTCCGTGTGGACGCAGAAAACTTTAACTACCGCATCCATGGAGGGAACTGCCTTCACCACCTGGTCCCACCTCGGCAGTGGCTCCCCGGCGGCGGTAACCATCACCAAATCCGCGCGCTCACCGTTGCTAGCGAAGATGTGCTGCGGCCCACGTTTAAGCGACGAAGGCGGCAGTTTGCCGTCCGCGCTGGCGACATCTTCGTTAGGGATGCTATGACGGCGAGTTTTACGAGGCCGACCGCGAGATAGTCGGGAGGTGGGTTGTGGGGAGGAGTCGGCGGGCAAGACCTGGGCCTCGTCGGCTGCAAGGGAAGAAGACGGGAGTTGCAGATCCATGGTCTCCGCAACAGGCGTCGTGGGTTTGCGACCCCTCTTCCTCTTCGAGTTGGAGGGTTTCATTTCGAGAGCTAGGGCTTCAGAAAACTCCTTGCAAACGCACCGTTGGCTCTGCTAGTGCGAATGTAGAGAGCAGGTTTGGCCGAGCATGGATGGTGCTCGGATGGTACGAAAGGAGCTAGGCAAATCTGACTTTATAGATGTCGCAGGTTAGCCGGAAGTGGAAAATAATATAAATTATTTAAAAAAATAAATGAAATTTTTATAAGAGTGTGTAAAATTTCTCATAAATATAATTGATATCAGAATGATTTGAATTTGAACTTCTTATTAAATCACGGTCGAAGTTATACAATTTTAATTCAAGTTCAAATAATATAGGTACCTGGAATTGAATCAAACAAAATTGATGTTCATCGATTAGCGTCGTTGTTCGTAATGGAGGTAGATTGGAGATCATGGTAGGAATGGACAAAAGCTCGCTTGAGGATGTGTCAATAGGACGTCGCATGTAATGATTCGAGGTGTTCGTTGTTGTATCAAAATCATTATGATGTGCTTTCTCTAGAAATGTTTCTTCATAATTCTCCTAGCGCATCTTAAATTATTTTTTTTAGGCTTTTTTGGGACAGCTTTCTTATTGCTTTTTAAAATAGCTTTCTAGTACAAAAATTTTTATACTAGAAAGTTGCTTTAAAAAGCTATAAGAACGCTATCACAAACAAAGCCTTAGCCTTTCCTCCATCTCCATGAGATAATGATAATTAGTATAGTTTAGGGCATCCATATTCATTAATGACTTTAGATTCGGTTAGTCTTTGAGATATGCTTGTCTATTTTCCACTCGCATCAATCCACGCTCACTGTATCCTTAAACATATTGGATCCTAGTTTATCTATACGTTACACCTTACCATACTAGCAACTTTTTGGGAAGAGCTATACAACTTAATAAGACCTCAATGGATATGGAGGTGGAAGAGAGGTGAAAGTGTAAAATATGCTCGAAAATCTCATAATTTATCAAGAGGTCATGTACCTCTATGTCAAAAGATCCAAAATGTACCTCTTCACATTTTATTTATAGAGCATAGATGATTACAAGAAAGATTACACATAATAAAGAAAAAAATTATAATGTTAATTATAACCCATTATAGGATACATGGCATGTAGCACAAGTTGGTATGTGCTGACAAGGCCCTTTATCTATTGTATATTCCTCTGTCCTAAGTTGAACCCTTTGAACGAGTCGTCACTAGCACGTGCACTGGCAAGTCCTTTAGAAAGTAACATGTATGATTAATTTATGTTGGCAAGTCCTTTAAACACATAGACAAGTCCATGTACAGTGTGCTTCATCCTCTTGGAGTGAAGGATGAGTCCTTCAAGGTGGTGATAACCACGAGCTAAGGAACGTATGAATATAGGGGATTTTAGTCTTGAACTACCAAAATATGCATTTACTGTAGTTGGCTTGAGGGATATCAACATTGAGTAGATGACATTGATGATAGCGAGTGACCTTTAGAGACTAATCTCCATTAATGTGAATGCCTCTCAAGTCTTGAGATGGTTTGAATAAGTCCTTTAATGTATATGCCTAATATGACTTCTTTGTCTGGTTGATTTGAGTGAGCATTGCTCCTTATTATTGAGTGCCCTGAACAAGCACTGTGACTTGTTTAGTGAGTCCTACTAAAATCTATCAAAGACATATGAATTGCATACATTGACATGAACAAGTATACATTTAATCTCTCGATTCACATGTGTGATGCCCCAGAATCTAATATGAAAGAATTATTCATTTATATTTTAATAATAATTATAGATATATAATATCATCTATCAGTAATAAATAATAAACAGATTCTATAATTCAAAACATTAATATATACCTCTATATTCAATCTCAAAAATTATATACAATACTCATGATCTAAATAATCATATCATAACTATTTTGTCATGAGAAAAAAAGACTAACTAAAATAAAAAGATACAGAACCTGAGGAATCTTGATCAGTTTCACATTTTTGCTCTCCAACTGACTTGAAATCATTTAACCACATATAATAAGCTAAAAAAAAGTAGTAGGTCATCAAAACCTATAATTGAATTCAAAGTATATTGAAGGAGTAATATGCATGTCAGTGATCAAATCATAACAATAGTCATATGATTTTTGAATTAGTGCATAAACAGTAAAATTCATATGTAGTTGTCGTAGTAAAATATATAAAACGTAAAACACTAGAGTACGAAAGCTAATAAAGTAGTAAATCAGAACGAGTGTTAAATCTATAAAATAATCATCGTATCCGTAATATCAATCACTACAAAAATTGTATAAAGCATTAAATCAAAACATTAATAAAGACTATCAAAATTATGTCAATGTAGTAAAATCATATAAGAATGTACCCATACTATCCAAATATTCTATATCATATGCTCAGTATATCATATATTTAGTATCAGTATAGTGAATCAGTAGTATTAAATAGTATCAGTATTTAAATTAGTAATAATAATAATCTAGTGACATGAGCAACAAAATACAATAATATTAATCTCATTCAATAATAATAAATTTGTATAATAATAAGAATAATGCCTCTAGAACTTACATTTCAGCAGTCACACTAAAAATGTTAGAAGTCCTCGCTATCATGGTGTTTTTCAGTATTGTATCAGTATCAGTAAACTACTAGCTTAGTAAATAGAGTCGTCACTCTTTACTCGTCGGCATAGTAATAATCTCCTTATAACTCCTAATCAATATATCACGTGAATCAGTAGAGGATAATACCAAATCATAATATTTTAAAAAAATTCTATCGACCCTCCATCATGTACATATCAATTAGTCTCCAACAAATGGGTCATTCATTCTTTGCTTGTCTTTTACACACACATTATTAACACAACACTATAATAGTAATCTCAATCATATATTTACATTCATTTCCAATATATTGTAGCAAATAAAGCATACTTGAGCTTAATGCAAACAAGTATCATAATGTCCTAATGGTAGACCAAAAAAATCATACTAAGTAAAAATTTACATTTTAAGAATATAACGAATTTACCAATTATTGTAAAAAGTAATATTCTGAACCTTTAGTTAAACTAAATTACTATTTTTAGATATCAAAATAAATTTTTGAGTAGGTAAAAATTATTGTAATTTTAAAATTACCTAGTGAAAAATCTTAAATAAATACTCAAAATGTTTATAATATTAATCTTTATGATATAGAAAAAGTTACACGATGAAAATTTTACCAATACTAATTCTCATTTTTTGGTTACAAAAATAAAAAAAACTTGATGAAAATATATCAAAAATATAAAGTCTTTGAAATCAGAAATATGGTAGGGGTTCCTTACAATGAGACAAACAAATCTCCTAACTAGGCAAACTGACAAAAATCATTCTACGACCTCCAAATCTTGATTTTCTTTTTCTCTCTTATCTTTTCTCACTTATTTTCCTAAGCCATCTCTTTCTTGCCAAATTTAGAAGAGAAAACAAAGGGATTTAATAAAATCTTAATACTTTAATATATTTATAAATAAATAATAATAAAATATTAATATAATATTTAATTTAATCAATTATTTAGTATAAAATTCAAATAAATGATTTTAGGACTTCAAAAATTATAAAAAAATATTCTTAAAATAAATTATTTTATTTAAAAAAATATCCATTAAATTTATTTGCGAAATGGACACCTGAATGTCTTGAAATACTTGTATCGATAGTACCAATTTCTTAAGGATTTTCACTAATATCTAAAATTTACAAAAATATTTGTGTAAGTAAAAAACTATAATATCAATACTATGGCAAAGTTGGTTTGAGGTTTGAAGTTTTAGTGACTTAAAAAACATATATTTGGCAAAGTCAACATATGAGCTATTACATTATGTCCTTTGATCAACTAGTTACAAAAAAAATGAATTTATGATAAGCGTCTAATTATTTTTCCAAAAATTAAAAAAGGATATTAGGTATAAGTTATTGCCTTATATTATTGCAGTCTCAAGCATCATGCAGATTTCTCGTCATATCAGTGATTTAAGTCCACTAACTCCTCCCTATAATTATTATCTTGAAGGGTGTTATCTATTTATATTTGATATTTTATTATTATTTAACTTGCTTAAGAAGGTTAAGATAGACCAGTTGAGTTAGTTGTATCTATCTTTAAATAGGTAAAGAGGGCTACTTTTTGCAAATATCACAAGGAGATGTGAAAGAGAGGAAGATAGGGCAACCAATAAAGAATATAATGTTGATTGAGGCAAATGTTCTTATGGGCTTGGTCCGATGGAGTTGGTTGCTCCGACATTTGCTACAATGGTGAAGGTGTTGGGAACTACGATAACATCTATTTTTATAGTATTCTAAATTGGTTTGAATCAAATTTAGTAAGTCATATGCATTTTAAAATTTCTACATTTATGTTATGCAAATGTTTGTGAATGTTTTGTCTGCTTCTGAATGCATAAATTATACTTTGGAGTGTATCTTATGGTCTATATATGTGAATATAAAATTCTAAAAATGTCCTTAGGACCATTTGTGTTGCTAGGTTAGTGGTGTTATACTTTGTGTATTTTGTAAGAAAATGTGGGTAAAAGTAGAGCAATGCTTCATAGAGTGATGTTACAGTGCTAGGTCTAACTTGGGGTGCTACAATGTTGTGGCTTTATGCTCTCTATTTATTTGGGTTTTGAGAGAGTGTTGTAGCACTAGGTCCATGAGCACTACCGTGATGGGAAAAATATTTTAATAAATATCAAAATTCACACAAAATTAAAAATACAGTTCATTTATCCCCTTAGGTAGCAAGTTAGAGAGAGAGAGAAGGATTTCTTGAGAGAGAAATTCATTTTGGGCTGCTTCAGATCATTTTCTACTTTTAAGGTTACATTCTATGGGTTGAGATAGGTTACATTATTATCTCAATTTTGAATAATTCATAGTTTCATGATTTTCTCATATTTAACTAAAATTTTGATGTAAAAATGGATATATGAGATCACCCATTAAATTTTAACATGTAACTTTTGATAAATTGTTGTTTCTAATATTCTACACATTTTAGTATTTTATTTATACATTTTTACCTGGTAGTTTCGAATATACACCATCTTAAAAA